GCAGTGGGTGTGGGGAACCAAGGGCAGAAGGCCGTCGGGGATGGCCGGCAGCCCGATGGGCGACCAGCTGATCATGCTCGTGCGCCGCGCTGCTGCGGGAACAGCGCGCTGCAAAGGGGCCATGCGCTGAGGGGGACAGGCACGCGCGCGGCCCGCGCGTGGCAGCGCACCTCATCCTGGACAGCCGGTGTGCCCCCGCCGCAGCGTCCGCCGCGGGGGCGGCCCTGCTGTCCCGGGCCACGTGGTGGATGAGGTCCAGGTCTCCCAGCATCTTGGCTCGCTCTTGTTGCCTGAAGGTGGGGGGCGGGGGTGGGGGGCAAAGGGCAGAGTTGGCGGAGCGGCGACGGTGCGTTGGACGGGGGCCGCTGCGGTACAGCGAAGCGTGACCGCCATGCGGCGACATAGGGTCGATTCTGTGCCAACTAGAACGGCTGAGCGATCCAAAAGCCCCGCAATGGGCATCGAGGCCTTGCGGGCCGATCGCAGCGTGGGCTAGCGGCTCGCCCGCTCAGCAAGCAAGGTTGGGCTGGAATGATTACATTTCGGGGCGTACATAAGCGCTCCGAGCGGCGACCAGCACGCACAGCCAGCCTGCTGATGCCAACATCGGTGTGGCGCACACCAGGCGCCACTGGGGCCCGCAACCGACCATACAGGGTGACCCTATATTTTGACAATGCTCTTAGCACCCACCTTGGGGCTGCGCAAGGGGAAGGGCTGTTGCGTGTGCTCTGCTGACGGGGCACGAGCGATGGGGCAGCAGCGAGCAGCTGTTTGATGCCGGAATAGATTCCTGAGCCTCTGGAGTGGACGAGCAATCGGGAAAGGCTCGGCTTTGGGCAAGGAGCATGTCCCTTCGCTGCCCGTCCAGAGTGTGAACCAAGCGCGGGGTGGGTGCGAATTACACGACGCTGCACTGGTACATTGCGCAATCATAAGTCGATAAGCTGGCCCTGCCATGGGTGCAGGTGTGCTGCGTGCTGGCTCGCGCAGGGTGCGATGCCGCAACATGGCGACGGTCAACAGCCGACCCCCTTCGCCCGGGTGCCAAACCGACGGAACAGCCCCGCGCCATGCCAAAGCTCCCAAACCGCGGCCGCCGGTCACGCCAGGGCTGCGACGGCCTTGACCGCGGCGTCGTCAAGGTCGTCGGCGGCGATGATCTTCATCTGGCTGCCCTTGAGGATCTCCTTACCCGCCTCCACGTTGGTGCCCTCCAGCCGCACCACCAAGGGCACGTTGATGCCCACCTGGCGGCTCGCAGCGGGGGGAGTAAACGGGTGAGGGATGAGGCGGGGCAGACATTGGTCAAAGCCACGGCCACAGTTGCCACAAGCTGGTGTTGTCACTGGCATCTCTGAGCGCCGCTTTCCCCGACCTCCCCCTCGTTTTCGTCGCCGTTGCTGCCGGCACGGTGGGAGCGGTGCGGGGACCGCCAGCGCACCTGCTTGGCCGCGTTGACGATGCCGCTGGCGATGACGTCACACTTCATGATGCCGCCTGGCGGGCGGGCGGGCGGGGCGGCGCAGAGCGCAATCAGGCGGCGGCCTGGCCGCGGGTCGAGGGGTTGCAGAGGTGGCGGCAGGCTGGCCCGCCCTCACTGAGCCGGCTGCTCCTGCACAGTGCCGGCTGAGGAGCAGCCGGCACTGTGTTCACTGCCTGTCCCGCGCAGCCGAGGCTCTCCGGCGCCTCTCCTGGGGCACGGGGGCCCCGCAGAGCCCCAAGCAGCACTCCCCCACACGGCCGCACCCACCGAGCCCCAGGCCACCTGCCGCCCCCAGTCTCGGCACCCCACCTGACTCCCCCCGCCCTGCCCACGATCGCCACACCACCCACCAAATATGTTCACGAGGATGGCCTTGACCTGCTTGTCGCTGGTCAAGATCTTGAAAGCCTCAATGACCTGGTGGTGGCGTTTTGGAACACATGAACAAGAAGGGGATGCAGATTGCGCGGCGCAGAGCGGTTGGCGGGGGGCGTGGCATATGCATGGGCGCCGCAGGCAGGCGGGGAGG